CGAATGTCCCTTCTGAAATATAAAAATACACCTATAGAAAATAGACCGAAACTACCTAAACTTCCTAACAACAAAAAAACTATTTTAAGAGTAGCATCAATGAATATTCTATGTAAAGATTATTTTGAAAAAAGTAACTCTATTTTGGAAACTATGTCTCTTCTATACTGTTGTGCCCATGCTATATGTATGATAATGAAAATTCCAGTCATTTCAGTACAAAATTTTAAGAAAAATAATACAGAACCTAAATGGAAACAAAGAATTCAAAAACGAATTGACATTGAACAGGTAACGGACGTAAAAAAAATAATTACTTTAGTAAATCAAATCGCTAATGAAAATGATATTAGCCAATCAGATCCCCATTTTCCGGATAAAATTACTGAATTAATTGATACACAAAAACAAAAGTTAAAAGCATGGGCCAACCGTATTAGACGATATTCAGAAAGATCTAAACGGTACTTTCAGAATCGCACATTCGAAAGTAACTAAAAGAGGGTGTATCGGTCTTGGGAGAACACTACAACTAATAGTTGTACTCATGGCAGCCCGAGCTTAAATGAATGTCTAAATTTTTGGAAAAGTATGTGGTCTAACGAAGTTCCTCATAATGAAGGCGAATGGATTCGTGCAACCGAACGTAAGTTTTCTAATTTGGCTAACATGGGTTCTATTTCAATTACTGCTGAAGATGTACACTCAATTACTCGTAGATTACACAATTGGAAATCACCTGGACCAGATGGTATACACAACTTTTGGCTGAAATGGATAACAAGTAGCCACGTGCGTTTGGCTGCACAGATTCAAGAAGCCATTGAGTGTTGTGATCTCCCGAGACTTCTTACAACTGGTATTACCCACTTACTATATAAAAATGGAAACACCACTGAACCCAAAAATTACCGACCTATAACATGCCTTTCAACTGGATATAAATTAATAACTGCAATTTTGAATAACAAGATCTATAAACATTTGGAAAATAATAACATTCTTTCAACTGCACAGAACGGATGTCGGAAAGGGTCACGTGGTTGTAAAGAACTTCTTCTCATTGACACTGCTATTTGCCGACAAGTCTATCGTAATCGCAAAAATATGTCCGCTGCTTGGGTGGATTACAAAAAGGCATATGACTCTGTTCCACATTCATGGCTAAAGAGAGTTTTACAAATATATAAAATAGATGACAAAATTTGTAAGTTTTTAAGTAAATTAATGGGTCAGTGGAACACTATCCTAAATCTACCAGGTGAGTGGCAAATTAGTTCGATAGACTCTATAAATATTAAACGGGGTATATTCCAGGGAGATAGTTTGAGCCCAACTTTGTTTTGTTTAGCCCTGAATCCTTTAAGCACTGCTATTGAGGAATCCGGATTAGGGTTTCGATTTCAAAAAGAAAACTCACCGATCTCACATCTACTTTATATGGATGATCTCAAACTATTCACATCAAAAGAGAGTAATCTACTATTATTGTTGAAATTAACACATAGTTTCAACAATGATATTAGAATGGAATTTGGAATAGATAAATGTGCTGTTATCAACGTAAATAGGGGCAAAATTAAAGATTGTAATAAATTTGCAATTACAAATGACTTACACTTCAGTTCTCTAACCATAATTTAATTAATTTTTCTAATATTTTAGACGTGGATGAGAGTAGCGAGATAGGCCGATAATTGGAAACGTTTTTTTTGCTCCCCGATTTGAATACTGGAACTACAATTGCTTTTTTTAAACAATCTGGGAAAATTCCTTCAGAGAGACAAATTCTGAAAATATGGGTTAATGGTGGTACTAGAATTTATCTATATTTTTTTAATATACTAATGGGTATGCCATCCCATCCAACCGCGCTTGTTTCTTTCAGTCCCATTATAATCCTTTCCACCTCACTAGGGTCCGTATCTAATAATGTGAACGAGCTTAATTGGCAGTTTTTTTGAGTTAAGAAAGTGGCCCTGTATTCACGATTATTGTTAGAATTTTTTGTTATCTGCTCAGCCAGATTTTTACTAACATTCACAAAGTAATTATTTGCTGTATTTGCTGATATAAGCGGCGAGGCATTATTTTTTAATAATTCTGACGAAGATTCATGCTGTTTGGAAATAAATGCAATATCTTTTACATGCCGCCAAATCTTTTTATTATCTCTACCAGACTCTTCTAGTAAGTTTGTAAGATAATTATACTTAAACTTTTTTGATAAATTGTTACAAAAATTCCCATATCTTTTATATGAAATTTGTGAAACAGAATTATCTGAAGAGGACTTTGTCATCAGGTGTAGTTTGTCCCTGTGTTTCATGCACCTAATCAGGCCAGGTGTAATCCAAGGCTTTAAGTTATTATTATTTTTTAGCTACTGTTCTATACGAAGTATTGCTAGCAATGGAATTTCGTACGTTATTCATTAAGTAAGGCAAAGAAATGTTTACGTCATCGGTTTTATAAACTAGGCTAAAGTCAATGTTTTGAATTGCTTGTTCAAGGTGTTTCATATTAATTTTAGTAATAAAGTACTTACAATTAGGTTTCGATATTTTAAGGCTTAAGTTAAGAATGACGACGCTATGATCGGTTACTACAGGACTGGTGACAAGGGTTATAGATGGTAACCTAGTTTTTAGAAAAGTGTGGTCTAAACAAGAACCACTTAAATGTGTAGGGAGCAAATGTGCTGGAAGCAGGCCCTGGCATGCACATATATTAAGGTAGTCTTTTGCTCCGCCTTCACCGCCTTCTGGGTTTATATCAATATTCATATCACCCGTTAACACTATATTCTTTAACGACGACAGTTTCCCAAGTGTAATGTCTAATGACGTAATAAAATTGTCTATTTGCTTAAAACCACACGGTCTGTAAACAGCAAGGATAGCAGTTTCATGATCCACTTTCACCAATCACCTGCTACAATCTAGCATATTAGGCTCCTCGACTGATATGTTCGTATTTTTTTCGCAGAGACTACTACACCGTCATTTTGGTTATATACATTTTTACTACTAAAAGTATTGTAACCTGGCAGTAATGGGAGGTTGTTTTGGCTTTTAGATAGTCTACATTCTGTTAGTATGATGATGTCGCACTCAGTGTCCAATCTTCGAAGGAGAATATGGAAATTATCCATGTTTTTATTTATACTACGAATGTTCTGTGTTTAAATAGTAAGAGAGTTCGCAGGTTTGAAGAGATATTTTTTACACATATCAATTTCATGTTTTTGCCACTGAGAAACTGACCGCATCGATTTCGTTACTTAACTTATCCATATTATTCAACAGAAAAAATAACACTAAAAAAAGATATATATATAAACTAAACTAAAACTTATTAGTAACTTATAAATTAGGGCAAAAAGAATTAAGGTAAATGGTGGCGCTCTTAGACGCCCTCATTATAATCAATGGAATTAATATACCTATTTTCAGCCATCTTCCTAGCCGGGCATTCGGGGTCACCTGTTTTATGGTCGCTCGATTTTTTAAAACGCAGGCATGTTGCACACTTTGCTGGATCAGTTTTCTTAATGCAAGCATTTGACTGATGACCTAATTCACCACAATATCCACACGTGTCGATTGTTTCCCGGCAAGTTCTTGCAGCGTGTCCATACTGTTGGCATTTGAAGCACCTGGAAACTGCACGTCAATGTGTATGTAATAAATTTCAATCAATCCTGGGCATATTCTTTAACTTACGCAAATTCATGAACCGAGAGGTCATATATATATAAAATACTACCAACGCTTGAAAAAGTAGAATACCTGATTGATTTAGAACAATATAAAATTTATAAATACAAACAACATTTAACGCATAATTACGTACCAGGCAAGACACATATGAAACTGTTATGGAAAGAGAACCAGTTAATATTTAACTCCGCTAATATTAATTCATAATTATTTATTGCAAGGTATATTATTTTATTGCAAGTATAAAGTTGGAACAATATATTTACAGAACATGTGACACCCTGTACGGGCGTAGCATATTGAAACAGAATTTAATATAAATTAATTAATAATTCATTTACATTTCATTCTCGTTACAGCATTTATAGTAGTATTTATAGAATATAATATATATCTAGAAGTTTCCTGTTCTCAACACAATTAAATAAAGAACCAAATAGAAACCTACACAAACAAGCCTACTCGTTAAAACAGTAATTTTAAAAAAAAACCGTATGCGTAAAAATGTTAACTGTAAAATAAAAAATATTGCACCATATGTCATTTCCACAATTATGACAAATCTAACGACACTTCATATTTTAAAATCCATCAAACCGTTTAAGCTTAGAGCGCGCCAAATATATAGACGTACATACATACTCTTGAAAAACATTACACTTCTTCTGAAGCAGTCAGGTAAAACTACAGAAGCCTGTTAGCATAACAACATAACACAATCATAAAGCCGAACGTCCACCGCCTGCTAAACTAAATGAAAACTAAGCTCAGTGAACTAAGCTAAGCTAAACTAGAACTACGTTGTCCGTCCACCAATAAATAAGCTAAAACTACGTTAGTGATGGCCAGTTTGTGCTAGAACGTCGAGTTAACCGGACGTGATATGGAAGACGACACGAGCAATGACGAGACTTTAGAGGAGGACTATCGTCATAGGAGAAGAAGATTGATCATTGCTTATTTTATGAAGAAAAAACGGAAACATAGATACTGGATAAGTCAACACATTCAGTCCTGGAAAACAAGTAGCGAATTTAACACTTTGTTTAATGAACTAGACGACAAAAATTTTAAGATGTACTATCGTGTATCTAGACAAGTTTGATGAGTTACTTACAATTATTGCCAAGGATATTGCTAAGATTGATACTAATTTTCGAAAAGCTATATCGCCAGAAGAAAGATTGGCTATTTGTTTGAGGTAAGTGTATCAACATTAAAATTAAACAGATTCAGTTACTTTAGTATATTTATTGAAAATTAGGTTGTATAAAAACATCAATCGAAAGTGGTATGGGTGAACGGAGTGCCTTCGTTATTTTGAGTATCTTGGACGTATGGATTATCTTGGGAGACTCGAGTGTCTTGGGAGCGTGGAGTAGATTGGGCAGAAGATGTTGAATATCCATATGAGAACTGACTTCCGTATAAGTAATTGTCATACTTATCTTCCGCTTCAGACATTATGGTAAAGATTTTCCTTTTAATGTCCCTTTGAAACCACTCTGGAAACTTTATGGCTGTTTCGCTCATACTCTCAAAAAACAGTTTTAATGGATGTCTTCTTGATTCCCTTTCAGCTGCCTCTTTCTCTTTTATCTCACGGCGACGCTTTTCATAATCTGCATCAATGTCTTTCAGTAAAACAGCCAAAGATTCATCGTTCTTTCTCTTTCTTTGCCTTTCAGACGATGAGCTGTGAGATGTAGATGGTATAGATTCAGTGTTAGAAACATGATCAGTATTTTCCTGTGTCTCAGTATGTGAAACTGTAATATCCTGGCTTTCACTTGCATTACCAGCTTCCATTATACCGTTTGTTGTATTATTCTGGCTTTCATTTACGTTACCACTTCTTGGGCGGTTTTTCATATAAGGCAATAAAAATTCAAGTAGACTGGCATATTTCCAAATGTTTGTTGGTGATGCAGCTTGGCTACTTGTTGAGCTTTTAATTCTTTTTATTGATTCTCGGTGCCCATCACGTAATTTCTTCCATTCGTTTTTTTGCCGTTTTAACTGAAACAGTAATAAAAAAGGTTAGGGCTAACTTTCTTAATTTAAACTTATAATCATACTTTGCTATTAACTGTAATTTTATAGTGCAATAAAGTAAGTACATATATGCATTCATTAAAAAGTGTTGCCATTTGCAGGTTTTTGGCAACAGGGGACTCCTACAAAACAATTGGATACAATTATAGAGTGGGTGACAGATCAGTTTCTAGGATTGTAGAAAACGTCTGCCAAGCAGTTTGGAATCATTTACAACCAATTTACATGTGTTTGCCGACTGAAAGAGAATGGAAAGAAATTGCTGAAAATTTTATGCTGAAATGGCAATTCCCCAACTGTGTTGGAGCAGTCGACGGCAAGCATATTTCCATAAAATGCCCACCTCATTCAGGTTCTCAGTATTTTAATTATAAACATTTCCATTCTGTAGTATTACTCGCAGTTGTCGATGCAAACAAGAAGTTTATTATATTAGATATTGGTTCCATGGGCAGATTTAGTGATGGTGGTATTTTTTCTGACAGTGCATTTGGACGAAGGTTACAAAATAACGAATTAAATTTGCCTAGTGATCAGCCTTTACTAGAAGTCGGTACTTCAATACCTTACGTATTTATAGGTGACCAGGCATTTCCTTTACAAAAACATTTTATGAGACCATACCCACAAAGCGCATGTCATAACAGTAGAGAAAAAAGGAACTTTAATTACCGTCTCAGCAGAGCGCGAAATGTGGTAGAAAATGCTTTTGGTATTTTGTCAAAATTTGATAATAATAATAATAATAATAATTTCTTTATTTGCTTAAAACATGGTGTTTGTAGGTGGTACAGTAAAATAAGTTCACATGTTTTGCTTATAATTAGCATGCAAATTTAAGATTATATTCAGGTAACATTTATTTCAAAAGGGGTCAAATATATTCATTAAAGCAATGTCAACAAAACAATAATTATTAAAGCTTAATGTCAATAAATTCTTCAATGTCATACACTTTAAGTTCAATAAGCCACTTATAGAGTCTCGATTTGAATAAATTCATTTTGAGGTTTTTGATGTCATTGGGGATCTTATTATACACCTTAACACACATTGCTAAACAACTTTTTCTGAATTTAGCAGATCTTGGAATGACGCTTAATACTAATCGCTCCGGATTTCTTTTCCATCGAGAGTTTATATCTCTGGCTTTCTGAAAGAGCTCAGTATGGCGTTTTACAAAACAACTCATTTCAAAGATGTACAGTGCTGGCAAAGGAAGTAAGCCCAGGCTCCAAAATGCTGCTCTACAGGACTCGCCCGGTGGAATCCCACATATTGCTCTGATGCATTTTTTTTGCGCTATAAATACCTTTTGTCTCTCAGTACTATTGCCCCATATCATCACACCATAACGTAGAATGGAGGCTACATACGCGTGGTAAGTGGTAATGGCTGTTTGCAAGTTAGTTACGCTCCTTGTTTTATAAAGAGCATAAACAAAGCTGTTAATACGCTTGCATAAGGCCTCAATGTGTAATTTCCAGTTAAGATCTTGGTCTATCGTTATACCTAAGAACTTAGTATGTGTAATTTCTTTTATCTTTTCAATATTAATGTTAAAATTGTATTTATCATATTTGGATTTATTAAATTGAATGAAATTTGATTTATCTAAATTTAGTTTTAGATTATTTTCCTCTAGCCATTTAATAATGTTGTCAATAGTATTATTAATCTCAATTTCGTGGTCATGTATTGAATTATATTTATTTTTTTCTGATGTCACAATTATTGATATGTCATCGGCAAACAAGATACATTTATGACCAGTAACTTTGGTTATGTCATTTATGTACAATATAAACATAAGTGGACCTAGGACACTTCCTTGAGGGATACCACAGGAGTTATTTTTTAGGGTAGAAGAACATGTCACCAGTTCGCTATTTATGATTTTGTTAACAGTGACGCGCTGACATCGATTCTTCAAGTAGGATGATAGCCATTGTAGTGTAGGTCCTCTTATACCAATCGTTTCAAGTTTATTTAATAAGAGGTCGTGGTCTACAAAATCAAATGCCTTGGACAAGTCAAAAAATAGACCTGTTGTTAGATAACCTTCATTCAATTTTGTGAGTATTGTTTGTACAAGAGTAAATGTTGCTAAAGTTGTCGACTTATCTTTTTGGAAACCGAATTGATCCTTACTAATGATGTTGTATGTGTTGCAATAATTAAGTATTCTCAGGTGCATACGTTTCTCAAACACCTTCGATAGAATAGGTATAAGAGTAATTGGGCGATAATTGTTGACGTCATTTTTTTTACCCTTTTTGTACAATGGTTTGACAACTGATTGTTTTAATGCTTCCGGAAACGTACCAGATGAAAATGATAGATTAATTAAATACGTTAAAATAGGCACTAGTTCATCAATACACATTTTAATTATTCTGGTACTAATTCCATCAAAGCCTTCTGAGTTGGTGTTGTTCAAACCCATAATTTCTTTTTTTACTTCTTCTTTTGAAGTCGGAAGAAGAAACATCGTGTTTGGTATAAGTTTGCTTTTAGCAGTTGTTTTTTGTATATTATTTGTCGTCAGGTTTTTTGTATTTGTCAATTCAATAAAATGTTCATTAAAAGCTGAGGCTATGTCAAAAGGATGTGTCAATTGTTTTTTGTTTAAACTTATTTCACTTATAATATTGTCACATTTTAAACCACCAATTTCCTTTTTTTATTACATTCCATGTCGCTTTGCATTTGTTTTTACTTTTATATATATATATATTATATGTGAATTCCTTTTGGAGGTAATAATACATTTTTTTAATACTTTCGAGTAATTTATATATTTGATTTTATTGATTGCTGTTTTATTTTTATAATATTTATACCTTAGTGACCGTTTAGTTTTACAGCTTGTTCTTAGGCCTTTGGTAATCCAATTTTGTGTGTTCCTATGATTGTTGTTAACTTTAATTTTAATTAAAGGAAAACACAGATTATAAAACATGCACAGTAGTTCATGAAACTTGTTGAAGGCAGAGTTTAGACTCATATCTGCGTATACCTCAGACCAAGTTATGCTTTTTAGGCACTCCCTGAATTTGAAAATATTTTCGCAACTGTAGTCCTTTCTAAGTACTGTGTATGTTTTTGGTTTTTCATTTTTTATTTGCACAGGGAAACACAATAATTGAGCTGTATCGTGGTCGGATAAGTATAAAGGTAGTACCGTAGCGTTAGCGTCTATAATGTTACTTAGCATGTGGTCTATGCATGAGTTTTTGCGTGTTGGTACCTTAATATGTATTTTTAGGTTATGATTTAGACATATATCTTGGAGGTAATTTGATATTTTTCCTTGTTTCAGCGTATCGATGTTAAAATCGCCTGTCACAACAACTTTGATATCAGACTTACGGTTTCTTAATAATTCATGCAATAGTAGGTCTAATTTATTTAAAAAAATATTTGGATCAGATGTAGGTGTTCTATAAACGCACACAACCACTAATTTATGTAGAGGCATCTCTATGCCACAGACTTCAAAGCACTTTTGTGCTGCGTACTTTTTTAGTTTTGACATTTCTTTGTAGGTACTATTTTGTTTGGCTAAGATACAGGTTCCTCCCCTCAGTTTATCTCGACAAAACGCTGTTGCTAACTCATAATTATGAATATTTAGGTACTTCTCGCTACCAGATTGCAGAAAAGTTTCAGACAAACATATTAGATCTGGTTCATTTTTCATCTTGTTCAGTTCTTGTAATGTTATTTCTAGTAATTCCTGCTTTGCCATGACACTTGCAATGTTTTGGTGCATAATTTTAAAAGTTTTATTACTGTGAGTCACAAAAAAAATGGCTTATCTTTTTTTTTTAAATAACGCAGTAAGGTACTTTGAGTTAAACGCATTGGCCTATTGGCATTAAATCCACTAATAGAGGTATTAGCCCCCAATCGAGTCCTGGAAAAATAGTATGGGATTGTTCCCTTTGGATACTGTACCACTTTAGAGGGAACTTTTTCAGGCGCTGGCTTACTACGTGCTATTATTTTTTTCAATTGTTTGGGATTGAGATATTCATTTTCGTAGTCAATGCAATCTATTACATAATTAATCGAATTACATATTTGAAAAGGATTCCTGTGTTTACATTCCACGAAATGACATTTTTGATTTTCATTACAAATTCTCTTTAAAGTTTTATTTATGTCAGTCACACTTAGGTACATATTTGTCAATAAATTTAATACAATTATGTCATTATCAGGAAAATATTTGAGAGACCGTCGTAGCTGTGATGATAATATTTTAATATCATAGTCGTTTTCGCCAATGCAGATTATAACTTTGTCTCTTGGTTTTAAATTTGCGTTTTGAATATTTATGATAAAATCTGAAGACGGTGCATATGGTTTTGTTATTGCTGTGATAGCGTATTTCACGTATGGCGTGTTCGCTCGAGACTGAATTAGGGCGGAGGCGAGACCGGTACAGCGCTGGGTTCCTATGATGTATAACCGGTTCTTGTCATCTTCTTTTTTTGCGCATACTAAGCTCGTGGATTTAGTCTGTAAAGGCATTTGTGTGTTGTCTAAGGCTGTTGTCAATTTCTGTTCCAGAGTATTTATATATTTTTTTAGACATATTACCTGGTTTTCAGTATATTTAAGCTGTTTCTCTAAGTCTTTAATTTTTAGTTGGAGTGCCATGGGTGTGGTGTTTGTATGAGCTGTTTTTTTATATGCCGGAGAAACAAAACCAGTGTGAGAGTGAGAAGTGAGAGAAGAAGATAATACTGACTGTCGTTTGGATCGTCTATTTCGTTTTTCGGAGCTCTGGCTTGTTTGGCTAACGTTATGTGAAGATTGGCATAAGGCTGTCAACGTCTTATTTTCCTTTGTCAATTTGATTATTTTCTGTCGGAGATTGTTATTTTCTAATGTTATGTTATCGAATTCATTCTGTAGTATGTTATATTCCGTTCGGAGTCGGTTCATTGTGTCCTTCATTTCCTGTATTGCAATAGAGTCGGTTATAGTTTGATCCAAACTTTTTGAAAGTGGTTTACGAAAGGAAACCACAAGCTCACTCAGATCGTGGGAGGTAGTCAGCACATGTGAGTCATCAGGTTCGTTGGAATCGTGGGATAAAGTTAGTGCTTGGGTCGTCTATTTGATTTATTGGTGACGCATTCAGTTGAGCAATGCTTGTCTGCATTGTTTGTGAATCGTCCAGATGTACTAACACACTTGCAGGCGCCATTTCTGAAGGTCCCGTCTCAGTCGGCATAAAAATTGCACTTGAAGTAGAAGGGCTTTCGTAGGATTTCTTACCTATTTTATATTTCCTTGTGGTTACGTGGGATAAAGAGGAGTAAGGTGTCGAAGTCCCTTTTGATTTTTGGCTACAGTCTTTGCACTTCCATTTACTTTTAGCTGCTGCATCTTTTAAGCGGTATAGTCTCTCCGAGTATCCGACGCAATCAAATTCATAGTTATTCCTGCATAGCGAGCATAACATTGTATTTTTTGGGTCAACCTTACGCTTACATTTGGAACATGTAACTTGTAGTGTCATCTTACGGTCATTATCTGTATTTTTTAAATTGGGTTTTGTCATTTTGTCAATGAGAATCTATACAATGCGTTTAATTCAATAATGTATTAGTAGATGTCGTTACTGTATCAGGGGCGACAGACAGTTGACGCTTATTCAGGGTATTTCTTGTATGGAAAGCAGCGGTAGCTAGTGACGAGAGGACATGTTACTTAAGACGTACTTATATATGTCCGTAAACGTGAATCACTTTCTTCAATAATTAACTAGATGGCGCTCATTAATGCAATTGTTTATATGGAAAGTAGCGACGTCTAGTGATTAGTAGTAGTGAGATTAGATATGAATGTTATGATGATTCAACAGCTGATCTTTATTTATGTCAAGTTTGAATTTATAACGTCCGAATAATTAGAAAATTTAATTGTGTTGTCTTTTATATAGTCACTCACCGAGTCAAAATGAAGTAAATTCGTGTTTATTTATATTATCGTCCATTGTTCATGCACTCGGACTTATATTGTCGAATTTTTATTCTGTTTATACACACAATGAAAATTTCACATAAACACATTTATTTTTAACGTTTTCACGTAAATAACGTTTGTGGCACTTTCTCTTCAATACACCTATAGTTTTAAGTTAGTTTACTGTGTAAATTTGATGTAATTCTATTTATTTTATAAAATTTACTACGGAGGCGATGTGAACCGTGATGACACTAACGCCCTCTCTCCATATGTTGTGAGTATGGATTTCGGATATTTCGTCGGCCATTGGAGTGTAAAGTAGAATCAGTTGATTTAATAACAAAAGCTGCTTGCGTGCTACACAATTATCTTTTAACTAATCAAACAATAACAACTTTTGATGAAGCAAGTGCGAGACAACAGTTTTACGATCAGTGGGACAACTACATGACAATTTACGAGCAACAAGAGAAGCATTCCATGTAAGAGAATCCTTTTGTAATTATTTTAACAATAACAATATAAATTAAACTTACTGTCTGATATGTTCGGGTTTTTCATTTCATCCACTATCCTCTTCCATAAACCGTCTTTTTCATTTGTGTCACGGCAGTCTTTATCCTCTGGATTATACAACGCAGGATACTCTTTGACATATTCAATAAACACCTCCATGCTGCTAAATACGTGTTTTACCAACCGCGCACGAACACTCACTGTACAAACACGTTCGAACAACACTGTCGACAAGTGTCAGAGGGGTAAGGCAAGGGGGTGAGAGGCGCTTAGTTTAGCTCAGTTGGTTACGGATCGGCCGCACAACTAAGTTAGTTACACTTAGCTGGGGCATTTAACGTAGCTTAGCTGGCATAGTTTGCGGTGGACGCAAATGTATGAAAAACTGGCTCAACTATGCGAGCTAAGCTAAACTTAGTTTAGCCGGCGGTGGACGTTCGACTTATATATGTCAAAAGAGGTTTCACTTACAAGTATTTGTACTTCGCACTTGTTATAACTTAAGAATAAATGTTACACGTGTGCCATTTGTAAGCCGGTAAATCGCTTGTTGTCAGCGGGAAATGGGACAAAACAAAAAGCTACGAAAAGTAAGCTATATTTTATACATGCTTAGATACACCCGTATATTTTCTTGTGTGCGATTGACGAGCATACGTTTGAGGACTCGTTAGTGCAGTGCGTAAGTTTTACTTTGGAAACGATTTCATCAAATTATCCGTGCTGATAGAATTGATTGAAACCGAAACCAAAATTTTATTATTAAATAATATCTTTTATGCGATAAGATTATTGTGTAAACCCCGCTTTATCGATATGCTTGTTAGTTAGAGATAATAAAACCACATACAATTTGCAAACAAAATATTGTATTAATTTAAAATTTTATCGTCGATTTTTCTGAATAAATCCTGGCTTTGATCACGCACTTAAAGAAAACTGCAGGGTTTTTGATACATGTTGAATAAAATAAAATAAGAATATGTGTTTGAGGTAATCCTCGGGATGGATCCTCTCAGTTCATAAATTAAGGATAACTTGTTTAATTGGGGCGTTATTTTCCTCTGCTGTCGAGAATGACCCCACTAGTAACAAAAACAAGGCTCTTGAGCGTGCGCCTGAAGCTTTACTATAGTTATCATTAATCATCAAAGTGTTTGCCACGTGTTCCTGACATCACTGTCATGATCCAAACATAAGTTCCCCACGACGTTTGTAATTTATCTTAGTAGTGTTGTTCGGAATGACTCAATCATTTGTTTCAGATGCAACGCTCGAGATTAAACATAAAATTCTTTTTTAAATAAAGATGACAAATGAGCATACTGTTTACCATAGCTTTTACATATCTACTCAATTAAGAATCAAAATGTAGATGCGTTGTCACCCCTGACCACTAAAATGGAATTATTTCCATTTAAAAAAAAGTCTCTGTTTCTTTACACTCACCATAGGAACCACAGCAGCATTGAGCTGCTATTTTACACTGGTATTCTGTGAGATCGTGGTCCTAACCCGGTCGAGCTGACCCATTTGTGCTACAACCATAATAATATAGCCTCAGTATGACTCTATCACGTATAAGAAATAGACTAATTAGATGATTTAATCTAGAGAGACAGTTCAATTACAGACTACGCTATGAGGCATTATATCTTAGTCTTCAGGGTTGACAATGCATAATATGTAACATTTATTATTTAAAGTTGTATGCAGGTGTCTTGAAGTAGCCGCTTATGTGAGGTCAAATATTTGAAAAAGCAATACCCAAGCTTAAACTCCCGTCCCTCATAAAACTACAGCCTAATATATTAGTTAATTATTTCGCAATGTAGACGCTCAATAAGAACTGATTCCACGTTAGTTCCATCAAAAAATTTTTTTGATATTTTAGACGTAGGTTCCATATTAAAATATTATCGTGCGCCCAGCGAAGAGAGCGGGTATTAACTAATAGTTTATAAAAAAAAACATAATTTATTTTAAAAACTTTATCCCACAATATGATTTTTCCCTATATCACACTACAGTCATGTTATAACACACACTGAACATAAAACAAAAATAGTTTTATTAAAAACTAGCAATGTGTCCAGGCTTTGCCTATTGTATAGGGTCCGTTAATGTCATTTTTGGGATAAAATATAGCCTAGATCACTCCTGGTATTACTTCCTATCTATTCGTAAAGTTTCATCACAACCAGTTCAGACATTTCGACAAGACTTAGAATAGACAGACAGACAGACAAACAATGAAAAATGATTGTTGATGTGTTAATAACATGCAGCTAGCTAAGCTGAATAGAAGCATCGTGATTGTTGTAAGAGAATCAGAAGATGGGCAGCAGCATTTTTCTGATAACAATGGCCAAATAATACAAAACATATTCCAAGTGGAATTCAAACCCCAAATGCCCCAAGTATGTTAAGTAGCGTCGACCGCACAACATGAAATATTGTACGGTCATCGCTACTTTCCTAATGCGCTGCGTTCCTAAACCCATCAATGCATTAAAAAGGTTGTTATAACAACAAGATTAAAGATATAACTTAGATACGTCCACAACTGGACACAAGCTAATTTAAGGGTGTAATGAAGCTATGCTATTATTGCCATGCTGCAGTTATATTTTCATGCTACAACTATACTACTAATAGTTGTATGTTGGGGTGTGGGTCGACCGGGAAAGGACCACGCTCTCATAGAATACCAGCGTCAAATAGTAGCTTAATGCTGCTGTGTTTCATATGGTGAGTGTAGAAAACCAGAGACCCTTTTTACCGGAAATGAGGCATTCCACTAAAGTCCTCATGGGTGACAACGCATCTGTATTTTGATTCGTAATCGAGGATAGATGTAGATGTCTATGGGCCACAGCAACCACTTATCATCATGTGGATGGACATCAGTAGGTGGACTGTGTGCGCGTTTGTCATCATATATCCTCATACCTCAATACCATCTGTATCAACCTATATTCGCAATAAATTATTTGAATTTGAATTTGAATATCCTATAATAAAAAAGCTAACAGTACGCTGCCTCTCAATTATATGTTGGTGGGACCTCAAATATCTTCTAAATATTTTTATTCCCCAGACATTCAGGTTTCCTCAAGATGTTTTGCTTCACAGTAGAGCACGTGTTAAAACAGTTCTTAAAATTGATAATTAACAATTTGATTAGCGAGGATCAAAACCGGGTTACTGTGAAATGTACGATGAGCGCTTAGACCCTGAGCTAGCACCGCTATACTGTTATAAATTCATCAAATCATCATCAACATCGTTACAGTATATTACCAGTCTACACAATTCAACCGCTGAACATAGATTGCCTCATGAAGACATTTTGCCACAGTTGCTGATGTCTTACGATGGACAGAGGGAAACTGAAACAGGAGATGGGCAGCTACATCTTACTTATAACCACTGCAAGTGATAATACCGTTACTGTCACGTCTGTATGTGGCGACTGTGCCCCTTATGAAGTATTTTGTTGGCGGGGGATGAAAGATATAAATGAACTGATAAACACATATTTTAGTATGTATGCATATTTAATTTAATATTTCCCTGTGGAATCGACTACCTCAAGCGATTTTCAAACAGATACCCAACAAGAGCCGCTATACTATATCTGTAAAAATAATAATATTGTATCGAAGTTTTAAGAATTAAATTTTATTAAACAACCCGTTACATAAAACAAACTCAGAAGCAAAAGTGAGCAAGCTTTTACCGTGACAAATCTCCCATGTTTAAATACACGCGTTGCGACCCTCGTCACGTCGTTGACACTTTGACATGCTTCTGTCATTCACGTTCAAATTTGCGTTGCGCGCGTTTTGGTTCCAGGGGTAAATTTATTACTCATCACTTTTTACGTATTGCCTACAAGCAAGAGTTTAATAATCTAGTGTAAATAAAGGCAATGGCATTTATATATGCATTCTTTATTTGAACATTTATAAAAAAAGGTCAATTTCTAAGCAAGTTCATAATCAGCGTTTCATCTCTCCATTAAAATCTTAATAGAAATTTTTCAATTAAAATTAAATGAAAATTTTATAGCTCTAACAGGTTTTCATAGTACCTAACTCTTGCTATCAGCAAATAGTTATGGTAGTTTTTGAAAATACCTTAACACGTTTGAATAATATGCATGAATATGTAAGTTTGATGACTTCCTTTAATATATACCTCTATTATTATTTTCAGGTTTTCGTCAGTGAAAATTTTGTAGCTAAGATATAGCAGTTTACGATAATTACATTCGTAAAATGTTAAGCAAATAGACATCTCTCTGAGAACCAAGATGTTCGTTTCCAGTAAAAAGGGCATTCGGTTCTTTACAAATAGCATACGGAACACAGCAGGTAGTTTACTCTGATATTCAGCGAGCGTGGTCCTTCTCCTTCGAGCCGACTAAGTGATACAACAATAAATTATCTGCGGCGTGCCTCTACCACGTACCACTACACTAGTTTTTTAGGTTAAAATTTCGAATTGTAGAACATTCAGAATTAGACTGCAAAACTCCCACGGCGTTGCATCGGTCTGCAGTCTATGAACGAGATCAAATCGCTTTCACCATTATATCATATTTCATAGACGATAAATCTTCGCAAAAGAAATAATATTCCTACCAAAGATAATTCGCACGGATATTGAAATCAAAAACATCGTAATTTCAATAGAGCAAATGGCACTTGTGGACACGTCCGCCCGTGACCTTGTATTCGAAAGGTTTCCCGATATTAATAATAAGTTCAATGAACGCGTTAAGGTCTATAAAAATACTGTATTATTACTGAATGTAACTATTAAATATAATTAAATAGTGATCAAATAGCAAGTAAACAGTGTTAAGGAAGGGCCAAATCGTATTATTTTATTTGTTAGTTTTACTCGTCTAAAATTTCCCTAATTGGTAATTTTTATAATTTTTCTCCACTGTCACTACTAATACTACAATTTATTATTATCTCATTCGTCTGATTACCTGCCATATTCATTTATTCATACAGGCAGCAAACGTACATGATACGAATAAAAGAATAGCTTTCTTTCAGTTTAGGATTTACGTAAAGTAACGCCTGGTTCTATTTATTATACAAATAATAAATTAATTAAATACATTTATTTACTTTGGAGAA